TACCGTGGAGGTCTCGCGCCGATACCCTGGCTGTAAGGCACCTGTGCTAGACAACAGGTAGTTAGTCAGTGACTAGAATTAACTTATAGAAAAGGCTAACCCGGAACTACGCGGCAAGGACAACCGATTTGACGTAGACAAACCAATTGTTGTTTTTCTTGTTGTTACTCCAAAGAGCTGAAAGTGACGTCCAGGTAAATGAGCTTGCGCCAGAACAACTTCTTGCAGTAATATGTCCCATGTCTTACTGTCGGCGGCACACGACGCCGCACTATTGCGGGAAAAAGTTGTCTCTCGCTCACGTATATGCACTTAGCTGCCGCCGTCGTCACTACTGCATCCTACCGAACAAACCAAGACATGACGCGCCATCAACACTAACATATCTGCAACAGCGCAAACTTTGATTATAGGAATACGTCGACGCAACCACAAGTGACAACGTTTTGTTGAGCTAGTGGCGCTCTGCACTAGAGCTACCTACTTGCAGCAAATAGGTTGTTTGTCAGTGCTTTATACGAGAACGGCAGCAGCCACAGCCATGACCGTCGTGAAGACACCCGTGGCAACATTGGAGGCGCTATTGGAGCCAGATGCGGAGTCGGTAGCCCCTGCAACAGCGGAGCCAGCAGTGCTGGATGCGCCGAGGATTACGTCTAGCGCGTTATGTGATACCTCTTCGGCAGTGTTGGAGTCCGCTTGTGGGGCACTTGCAACCGAATCGAGTGCCATTACGGCGACAACGGCGATGGCGAGAAGCCGAACTACTTGCATTACTGGTGCTTGATTGTCGACGTGAGCTGTGGCTGGTAGTCGATAAATGGAGAATGGCAAGACCAGGGAACGATGCGTGTAGTTGAGAGGAGGGACATCACTCGCGCGTTTACACCTACGCTGCAAATCGGATTGCAAGGAAGCTCTATGGGCTATCCGACTGCTGAAGCGTCTTTGACTCACTTTCCCGAAGTCTTAGCGAGTGTCTTGGCCGATATCAGTTGCTGATAGGGACAGCCTTGCTACAGTATAAGTTTTTATGAATGCAGGATGTGCTGTGTGAAGTGTCCAATGCGCTGGTCGATGTGAGCCGCACGCCGTAGGAAGAGTCAGACGAATGAAAAAAAGCCTATCCATTGTGTTGATGGCGCGACGGCATGTTTTGCTTTGTGCAGACTGCTAAACACGATTGCGGATTCCTAGAGGAGTCGTAAAAGTTGATGAATTCAAAACCGGTAAGCAAATGAACTTACGGAGCATGATACCGTCGCGAGTTCGTAGAGTCATTAAGCTGTTGTCTATTACTACAACAGGTGCAGCCGACTGGAATCTCTGAAGCACACACGGATAGTGAGTACCTAGTACTCTATCTAGGTATCTTCACTGTTTCAAGGTGGACACTTTTCGTTTCATCATTGTCCACCTCTCTTTAGTCCTCCCATTGGTCAAAACTTCCATTCCAATTTTTCACCAATCCAGATTAAGAACTGTTCTCATTGGTCGAAAACCCCTCACCAACCAAAACTTTGTGCTCCACCCAGTCCATCCATCACTTTGTATCAACTGGGTCATCATGGTGGTCAAGGCGTCCGAGATCGCGCCTGCCGCGTACGCTGAAGGCAGCACCAGCAACGTCCAGAAAGAAGACGATCTGACGTACGATCTGGGCAACTTGGCGGCCTTTGACACGCATCCGTTCACTTACCAGAACGAGAAGGAGCTCGCTCTCCATGCTCGTGAGAATGTGCAACTGCTGATCAACCACATCTTCGAGTTGCCACGCGAAATGTCCGATATGGGTCCGTTGGCCCAATTACCCGCTCCGGAGACGGTGATTCCTCGCGAAAAGCCGCTGCCGAAGCCCAAGGTGGAGACGAAGTGGGAGAAATTTGCCAAGGAGAAGGGCATCGAGAAGCGGAAAAAGAGCCGCAAGGTCTTCGATGAAGCCACTGGCGAGTGGAGCCACACGTGGGGATACCAACGTGCTGGTGACAATATGAAGGACTGGGCTGTCGAGATGAAGGAGGGCGACATGGAGGACCCCTGGACGAAGCGCAAGCAGGAGAAACGCTCTCGGGTGGACAAGAATTTGCGTGCACAGGCCAATAACCTCAAGCAGGGACGTGGCAAACAATTGGCTGGTATTGCCGGCCGTACCCCCACTGGTATCCCAGTGGAACTCATGAATACTGACGATGCGAAGGCCAAACAACGCGGTAAAGAGGGCACCAATAAGACACTGGAGAAGGTCCAGTTCTCTACTGCCTCTATGGGCAAGTTCGATAAAATGCGTGAGGGTGAGTCGGAGCGTAAGATTAAGGGCAAACGCAACCATTTCCTGCCTACTACTGGCGCTGAGACGACCGAGAAGGAGCGTAGCATGAACGCTCTGAAGCGTGTATTGGGTCGGGAGGAGAATGCCGGTAAGCACAAGGGCAAAACGTTTGATGATGAAGAGGAAGGCGAAGGTGGCAAGCGCAAGAAGAAGGGCAAAAAGCTGAAAAACATCACCAAGGGCGCGGCCAAGAAGCGACGGACCAAGTAAATGGAAGGTTGATGCAGTAGCTACCAGGGGGGAAAACTCTTCACTCTTCATAGATCACATAATATATGCTGCATGTAGCCAAACCTGTGACAGTTTGTATACTTGCATTCATTATGCTGCTTTATGCAGGATATCGAAGAGAAGTTGCTTGGCTTACAAACTTTGACAGTTTTAGCCACAGCATCCTCCGCCCACTGCATAGTAAATACAGCATAAAGTGTCAGCTTTAGTTAATTGGGGTACAGTATACCACGTAGCAGGACGTACTTGGCTGGTTGATGGTGCCGCGATGGTTAATTCCTCCCATTCGACGCGGCCCTCCGCGTCCATTGCCGCCTATGCCGCGGTTTGAAGTCGATCCTTGGCTGATGTTGCTGTTAGGACGTGTAGCAGTCGATGGATCCTATTAATGGCAAAGAATAGAGACAACCAGAGTCAAATCTACAGCAGCAATACACCACGGAAAGCACAAAACCTACCGAGAAGATCGATGTCACGCTGTTCATCATGCAACACACACCGCAAGACGTCAATTCAGCTCACTGTCCGGTGTAATAAGCGCATTCCGCCACGTACAAGAGTCCTACGAAGTTAACGACGC